CTACACAAATGCCCATTGCTTTTATATCTGATCTGTGACATTGTTTCTCAGCTGCGGCTGCTAGGATGACTTCCTTCTGAACAGTTTGGAGCGGAGGGCGAGGCCTCGTACGATTGACTGCGCGCGAGAAAACTCGAGCAGGGGACACGAGTGTCGTGGGGATTTTACGCCTCCCGGGGGGGCATCTTGACAACTCGGAACGATGAAAAGTAGGGAAATTGAGTCACAAGATATATCTTAGCTTGGGGAAAAAACTTGTGCTTGTATTATAAGGTAAATAGTATCACAGAAGTTTACTGTGGGAGTTATAGATCTACTGATCTAATCACATTTGCCGATTCAGATTACGCAGTTTACTATTAATTCATTTTATTGTCCTTTCTAATTCTTTGACTATGTAGGACTTGCAGGTCCTCTCTGCCTACAGGCCAAGGATACCTATGCCAGTAGTACTTCCCCTCCTATGCCTCCCATACAGCTCCCCTCAAACAGTACCGCCCCTCACAAGTCCTCATTTGATCATACACTAAGAGGAGCCCTTTGCCCTTCATTATCTCTCCTCTCCAGCCAACAAAACGATGGCCATTTGCAGGTGTATGGCAGCCGGGAAAATCGCAAAAACCACTGGGTGCGGTGCTCTCCTAATACCAACATTAAGACTAAATCCGAAGACACAGTGCCCCTTCTAAAGCGTTCGAAGAGGCCGGCCAGCTGGGCGCTGCAGACTTATGGGTACCTCGGGAAATTCACACTCTTCCTTTCTAGCCTCCTTCCAACCCCTTCCCGAAGGTCGTGCTGAAATGTCAGAAAAGTCAGAAAAGTCTTGACAGAGCGTAATTGCTGTATAGTAGCTTAGCCTAGCTTCTTTTGTGCAATCCAGGGCGTTGGGGAGTGCCATTGACTCATCGACAAAAGAAGCCCTCCTGGCTAATCAGTCGAAATCTTAGTCTTGACGCCCTGTCAGGCGCAGGTTCACTAGGCGCAGGACTCGAGGCGTAGGAGAGGGCGTAGCGTAGGATGTACTGAGGAAGGACGCCTCGTGATAACGCGGAGGGCTTTCTAGAGAAGTGGTAAAAGGGAAAGCGGGGAGTCGTTCTAGATAGAGGGGCCGGAGGTGACAGTAGGTCACTATGTTTGGCAGAGGACGAGAGTGAGATGTGATTAGAATAATGTAACTATTCCTATAGACAGAAAACAAAGCGTGAAGATATCAGTCTCGGAAATGGAAACTACATAGATGCCCTCGCTAAGCAGTAAAGACTAGTGGGGAAAAAAAACTAAAAAAAATAAAAAAATAAAAAAAAAAATAAAAAAAAAAAAAAAAACAATAAAAAAAAAAAGACTAGTGGGATTAAATAAGGAACCCATAAATCCTGCCTGAGGGATTTCTCAAGAATCCTTACACGCCCTGATATATTAATAGGCTATATTGGAGCAGGACGATGGGTACTCTTGAGGAAATTATGCTCACAGTAGGTCTCTATAGTCGCCGTTGCGTGTGTTCTCGTGATATGTAAGACTTGACTCTATATTCTCGTATAAAGGAAACTTAGTTACAATGAATGGATGGAGGTTGAGACCTCCTTATATCTTGCTCCAGACTTACTGTGTTGTTCACAGCCTAGTGCTAGAACATTCCATTATGATATCATTTCTCTCCTACGAGAAATGACCAGCTCGTTCTCTCTCAGTCTATCAGTCTCTCGCTGATTCCATTATCTCTATTCCATCGAGTTCTAGTTTGGTCCAGTATGCCCACACATGCATTACACTCCTAAATTAATAAACATGCATTACACACTAAACACCCCACGGTTTAGTTCCCCAGTCACGTGCATCTACTATGACGCGGCCTAAAGCATGTACCATGGTAAGTAACATGGATAATATAACACGCCCACAAAAAATCCAAAGTTGAAAGCTCCTTGAAAATGTCAGTCCCAGCATAGTTTCCAGAGACCTGTTTCCCCTCTCGTTCCACATCTTAGCCGCCTCTCTATTCTCAAGATGTATAACCCCATTAGAGCATCAGTCCCCCATAAACCAAGATCCGAACTTTGTATATTATGACTTAATTTTCTCCCTGCGGGTATACGTAGCGTCGTAAATTTGTAGTGGGTGATTGTCGGTAATGATTGAGGCAAGCTCCTGTTTGCAATTGGGGTGACGCCTTTATCGGTCGTCAAGGCGAGATGATGTGTGGTAAGAAAGAGGTTGAGGACTCAGAAGATAATGGTAAGTGCTGCATGATTGAGAAGTCGTCAAATGGAGATATGCATATGTTTGCTTTCGACTTCGATTCGGATGCGATTCTTCTTGGCTATCCCAGATATGCAGAGCATCCTGAGTAATTACACCGGCACCACTGGAAGACGAAGATCTCTTCTATGCCGGTTCCATGGAGTGATCGATAGTTTAGTTTTTATTCTACGTCAATATAAGGGGGAATGGTTGGATGGTGCAGTGGTACACCATCCGGGTCGTTCTGCCAAGTAGATACTAGGTAGCCTGAACACCTACCCTACACGAGACAGGAGAATACTGGTTCGAATCCAGTCAGACCCACTCACCACTCTCTCTCGCGGTGATATTTTACATGTGGGATGATGAAAGCACACTCGGATAGCCACAGGTTTTTCACGAATTTCCCTGTGGTGGGTATGCACGGAAGAGGTTATACGCCGTAAGGGTTAACCTCGAGTGGTATCTGCAAATGAAATCTGAGTGTGAGTGTTCTCATCGTCAGATTGTATCATCCTACTTAATGTACGTATCTTCCGAAAAAACCTGCATGGGCCTCAAGGCGCCAAATCAGGTAAAATTGAATTATATATATATATATTTAAGGGGGACTATTCTCAACACCTGTCGGTGGTGTCCCCTACGAACCTCCAGCTCTCACTGTAGAGTCTGCAGCGCTGAGATTGAGTAACAATGTCCTCACTTCGATGAGGATTCTCAATCGCTTTTGCGGTCTTTATTGTCTTCATCTCTCTACACATCCCCCTATCACCATCATCATAAAGCTAACCACGATCAGATCAGATGGTAGGGTCAAACCCTTCTCATCACCAGCCCTTGATCATGGAGGAAAAGCCATCCGATAAGTTTCCCGAGCGTACCCAGCACCCGATACGGCGATGGCGGATTGGATCAAGTCGATCTCGAATATTACAAAAAAGGGAGATATAGATGAATATGCGCTCCTCATTTAGTCCCAGTGCCTAGGCCTCGCCTGGTTGGGGCTGCAGGTTTTTGAGACTTTTTCCCGCGCACGCAGATTCCATTGCTACCATTTTTGTTTTTTTTTGGGCGGTAGGTGCTATGAAAAAAGTGGCCGAACTTTACGGATAAACACTGAGCTGAATGGATATTTATCAAGGGGAATATATCAATGACCTTTTAAGGAACAAAAGAGGCAATGAGCACCGTACGAGGTGTGGCCTGGGTCAGAGGAGTCCAATGAGTAAGATAGTCGTACACTCAAGCAGTAAAATAATAACACCACACATACTTCTAGATAAACATGATACTTCAAAGGAAAGCCAGGGTGATAAGGTATACTGTAAGTATGGAAAAAAAAGTTGTCGAAGGAATCGAATCAGACCTAAAGTTAAATTTATCACATGACTTTGAATAACCCCTGATCGCACTAGACATAACACGCTCATTGTAGAATTTACAAACAGCCGAGTGACTATTATTACATTTTACGAATCCAATTAGCAACATGCCAAATATTATGGCTGTCAGACGACCAAGAGCTGTTCCTCGATTGATAAGCCATGTGTCTTGCATGCAGCATGCAGCAATCCCGTACAATCACGCATCTTTGTTCGTTACACCTTACCAGAATCTCAAGCTCTGTTCGCCATTTTCGAGCACGTCGAAGGCAGACTATCCTAGGGATATGAATAGAATACGTGGAGTCTCATCTACTCGTCGCACTGGCCCACGACAACCCCTATCAGTCTCTAAAACGCTTCTTCCACAGCCCGTACGAGATCCAGATCGCCGCTCAAAGTATGAGGTTGACGAAAATCATGGCCTTTGGGGCTTTTTTCATAGTAAGGACAAATCAATTAATACACCAGAAGAAGACCACGCATTTGGTCGAAGCTGGACTGTTGAGGAGTTAAGAGGTAAAGACTGGGAAGATTTACACGCTTTATGGTGGGTTTGTGCCAAAGAAAAAAATAGGATTTCAACGGCTTCCTACGAGCGAAAGCGTTTAAAAGCTGGCTACGGTGACGCAGAAAGTGAAGAAAGGGATAAAGCTGTACGTGTTCAGTCTCCCCGGTCCGACTGTCCCGACGACTGATGAGCTCTTGTTTATAGGTAAGGAGGACACAGAGAGCAATTAAACATGTGTTGACAGAACGCTGGTACTCGTGGACCGAGGCCAAAGATTTGGCCAAGGAAGATCCAGAGATTAATTTGTCAGGTACGGGGCCCACCTATTGTCCACGGGAATACCTTGAGGTTGAAGATGTCGCGTCGGCGAACTTGGATAATTTGGAAGGAGTAGCTATCACTTCCCCAGCAGAAAGAACTTGAAAAGTAAGGAAATTCTAATCATGCCAAATACTCCAGCTTGGTCATTTAGGAGGGCGCGGACGTGTTAAATATTCCCAAGTCTAGGAAGATACATATTCAAGCTATTGTATTGACTTGCCTCTACTATTTCAGTTAGACTGAGAAGACACTGGACTTTCTGCTAGTTTCCTCAAGATACCTACAAACAATGGTGTTTAAAATGTAGAACACAAATAACATTTATTGCAATCTTCAATTGCAACGGTTCAGGGGTTGTAAAGGGACCAGGCGCATTTCTGAGGCAGACATGCAGTAAGCGAATCGGATCAACACTTGACGCAAGCGCCAAACGACGTAACAAGCACATCTGTCAATCCCATAAGTGTGTCAGCATCTCCAATTGTCGCTCACAGAATAATAGCTATCTCACGTATCCTTTCTTCTAAAAAAGCTCACTTCACAACATGGATGAAATCGCCCCAGAATATGATATTATCGTTCTTGGCACGGGTACGCAGGTCTACATTCTCCTCAGCGTGCATAGAGGGGTAGTAGTACTAATATCTAGTATCAACAGGCCTAACAGAATGCGTGCTTTCAGGGTATGATGAAGCTATTTGGGGATTTACAGAGACCTATCTTAACATTAAGCAGTGTTCTAAGTGTTAAAGGCAAGAAGGTGCTGCATATTGATCGCAATGATTATTACGGAGGGTGAGATCTCTAAACCTTACATCATGTCACCACAACGACTAACCAAGATCAGGGAAGCAGCATCGGTCAACATTGAAACTGTGCGCAGCTCTCGCTTTGATCCAGTGGTCATTCTATTCTGACTTCAAGTAGCTCTTCAAGAAATATGGCAATTATAACAAAGGAGAAGAACCATGGAAGAAATATGGGCGTGTCAATGATTGGAATATTGATCTAGTCCCCAAATTTCTAATGAGTCATGGGGAGCTAACCAACATATTGGTTTCAACCGACGTTACTCGTTATTTAGAGTTTAAGCAAGTGGCTGGCAGCTATGTGCAGCAGGGCTCTGGTCCCAAAGCAACCGTAGCAAAGGTCCCGTCCGATACAGCTGAGGCTCTACGCTCTTCTCTGATGGGCATGTTTGAAAAGAGGAGAATGAAAACCTTTATCGAGTGGATCGGATTATTTGATGAGAGTGATTCGAAAAACCATAAAGGTATAAGCATTGTAAATTGAAGTGAAAAAAATTTAACTGTCAGTTTTAGGTCTATCTATTCACAACTGTACAATGCGTGAAGTGTATGATAAGTTTGGCCTTGAACCAACGACAAGAGACTTTATTGGGCATGCTATGGCACTTTATCAAACTGATAATTACCTGGAAGAGAAGGGTCGAGCTCCTGAAGTCATTAAACGTATCCGTCTCTATGGAAATTCTGTTTCTCGTTACGGAAAGTCACCATACATCTACCCTCTTTATGGTCTCGGAGAGCTTCCCCAGGGATTCGCCCGCTTATCAGCTATTTACGGAGGAACTTACATGTTGAACACTAATATTGAAGAAGTGCTCTACGAAGAAGAAAGAGCTGTCGGTATAAAAGCTACCATGCAGGATAAAAGTGACGGATCTTCGATCAAATTTGAGACTAAGGCAAAAATGATTTTTGCAGATCCCTCCTATTTCCCCGAAAAAGTTCGAGTAACCGGTCATGTTCTTAAGGCCATATGTATTTTGAATCATCCCCTGAGTGGGACAGATGATAGCGATTCAGCTCAGCTAATTATACCTCAATCACAAGTAGGGCGAAAAAACGGTTTGTTAACCACCGTATATGCGAAATAATTAGCTCGCTAATTCGATTTAGACATATACATTGCCATAGTATCTAGTGCTCATAGTGTCTGTCCAAAAGGCTATTACATTGCAATCGTATCAACCATTGCAGAAACAACAGCCAATCAGCATCTTGAGCTCGAGCCAGGCTTTCAGCGTCTTGGAAAGATAGAAGAAAAATTTCTAGTTAGACTCAACATGGTTTCCCTTATGGGAGATCTCAGAGATTATACAGCTAACAATGTTGTGTAGGGCCCACCAATCCCACTTTATGCGCCTCTTGAAGACGGTCGCAAAAATAATATTTTTATTTCCAAAAGTTACGACGCCACAAGTCACTTTGAAACTACTACAGATGATGTACAAGATATCTATCGTCGAGCCGAGGGAACTGATCTAGTCGTGCAGGGTTTGAGAGAAGGCACCAATCTAGTCGGCGAGAACTAAGCTGCTGTATGTTCAGGTGGTAGGAACTTGAGGAAGAAGAGCATGAAACTTGACGAGTTCTTCAATTGGCATTCAAACACTGGGAGCTTGGCACATTATTATTTACACATCCTCGCATAAATTCCGGATCTGGCTAATAATTAGACAATAGGTCTCTCCTATGGTATGGAAGTCTGGGTCCATTGTCTACATAGATAACCTCCTGGTGAGGCAAAGATCTACATGTGAAATTCATTATAGACTTTTTTAGACAAATAGATTGTAAAGGCCTATCATATATATCGATTAAATGTGCATTGTGAGGTACCCATAGGCTTTGACAAGCTCCAATAACATTGAAGTCTTAAATACTCGTAAATTTACAACCATTGAAGAAGACTATTATCAACGCCTGTCAGCGGTGTCCCCTACGAACCTCCAACTCTCACTGTAGAGTCTGCAGAGCCGAGATTGAGTAACAAAGTCCTCACTTCGAAGAGGATTCCCAATCGCTTTCGCGGTCTGTATTGTCTTCATCTCTCAACACATTCCCCTATCACCATTATCATGAAGCTAACCACGATCAGATCAGATGGTAGGGTCGGAGCTCTACTCATCACCAAACCTTGATCATGGACGAAAAGCCATCCGATAAGTTTCCCGAGCATACCCAGCACCCGATACGGCGATGGCGGATTGGATCAAGTCGATCTCGAATGTTACAAAAAAGGGAGATATAGATGAATATGCGCTCCTCATTTAGTCCCAGTGCCTAGGCCTCTCCTGGTTGGGGCTGCAGGTTTTTTGAGACTTTTTCCCGCGCACGCAGATTCCATTGCTACCATTTTTATTTTTTTTTAATTTTTTTTTTGGGTAGAAGGTTCCGTGGAAAAGGTGGCTGAATTCCACGGGTAAACAATGAGCTGAATGGCTATTCATCAAGGGGAATATATCAATGATGTTTCAAGTAACAAAAGAGGCAAGGAACACCGTACGAGGTGTGGCCTGGGTCAGAGAGGAGTCCAATGAGTTTGGTAGTCGTACACTCAAGTAGTACTACTAACACATCAAATCATAACATCTACTGACATAGTACTGACGAGGGGTGCAAGCAACACTTTAAACAATGATATACTTGGTTGGTGCGGTGGTACATCGTCTTGGCAGGTCTTCTCAGATCTGGATTCCTTGGAAACATATCCCACTCGAGACAGTAAATCGCTGGTTCAAATCCGGCACAACACAACCACTTTTCTCGCGGCGCTGGTATGCATGGATGACGAAGGCATGCTTGGATAACCAAAGGTTTTGAAATTCCTTTTCGCGGGTACTTACGGAGGATGATCGACTGTTTGTGTCAGCGAATATACCTCATAGAGGTATTTGCGAGTGAAATACAGAGTATGAGCGTCTTTAGCGTCAAAAGAGTCATCCAATATTTACACGGTATACCGCTCGGAGGACGAAGGATGAACACCTGTCAGTGGTGTCCTCTACGAACCTGGGAGTGAAATATTCTCCCAGAGCCGAGATTCAGTCACGAAAAAGGGTGCGATGAATTTTAATTGATGGATCTTCGACTTGAAGGAGTTGCACTCGATATTTTGGTCGGAAAATCAGTCGGCAGAGATTTCACAGCCGGAACAACGTCTGACAAAAAGTCATAACCACCAACATACGATTCACGAATGAGCCTAGGTCTATCTGGGGGTCGTATTCAAACATCCGACATTTCTTAAACTTCTTTTATACTTGCGACGAAGCATTTCTCAATCGATCCTACACCTGCGACCTACCTCCATACCCGTCCGATCACCTACCTACACACGCCCTAATGAGGAAAGTCATGATGGAAACGGGACGTGTTCAAAGGAGGAAGAAGAAGGAAGATTTACCGAGGGGATTACACAAATCTCCAATGACGAAAACAACCCAACGTTACGATATGAAGTTGCAAGGCTAGAGCAAAGATGAGATCTTGGACGGCATTTATATTTCGGAGTCAATGAGGATGTCAAGGGCTCGGGCGCGTGGTGGTCGAGGCTGAGGAGGAAATCGCGCTACGGCGTGTATACAGCGGGTTTCTGGACGGTTAGGCTTGGTATGATTCAACATATAGGTGAAGTCTGAGGTGGTCCGGTCATTTAAGTGGGACGAGGTTTATCTGTACTTCACGGTAGTTAACCTGATCCGGCCCAACCCCACACGTGCTTAAGCTCCAATAGGAGTGCAACGGTAGCCATGTAACCTAGCACGTTAATGAACAAAACAAAACAGTATACCGCTCTTGTTTTTATTATTTTTTTATTACGAACAGGTTCTAAGCTAACGCTATTTATCCGCAATGGGTAAGGACCGGTGGAGCCGGGAAGGTTCCCTGTAACTTTTCCTGCCGCCTAACTTGTTCCAACCTCGTGATTCGCTGCCAAATGTGCAGCTGATTAAACAAAATGAAAATCATGTTTTTGATTTGATTCGTGTTCATTATCCTGATTTGGCGCCCTATGGGCCCATGCAGGTGGCTTTAAACCTATCTGTATATTTACATAGGAGGAAACCTCTCGGTGAAAAACCCCCAAGCTTTCTGATTTAATTCTTACAGTTTGCAGTTTATCCTTCAGGAAGTACAGTTACACTGTAACGCCGTCGATGTGTACCAATCACGTCCCTTCTATCGACCCCAACCTTCTACATGTTCCATCTCGTTCCCTAAGCAGCGTTTCGACTGCATTTGTCATGCGGAATTGTTCTATCCAACCATGATTAAGAATCCATCGTATGATTCTTTTCATATCGCTAGGATTGTTGGTCATTGCTTCAAAGGAGCGATTTCGGGCTTGTCTCCAGATTTCTCCTCTACCAATTGACCACTTAGGGCAGGACATGATCATGTGCTTGGGATTCTGTGATTTTTCTTCTGTGCAAATACGAATTGAGCCCGATATGCTCGCTTCGAATTTGGATTGCTAAGCTACTTTGGGCCCTCGTCAGGTTTTTGTGGAGAGAAAATGGCGACTCCCGGAAGCTTATTTTTGTACGTCCAGAACAGCGGCATTGGTAAAATTTTGCTGCTGCCCAAGTTTTAGGATGAAAATCATGTTAGAATTTAGAATAATTGGGGCTATCAAGTAGGCCACGTTGTTGGTATGCACGTGACTACAAATTCTGTACTTAGTTTCACTTCGGTAGTTACTTGAATCAATGCGCTCTACAACTTCAATGTCTGAGGGGTCATTATTTTCTTAATAAATCACGAAAATCAGAACAACTCCGAAAACCAGAATATTCCTCCACATTGGACCCAGCCAATGCGCTCCTCACACATTCTGTCGTCCGTCACACCTTCGAAATGACAAATTTACATCCTCTCCGCTGAGAGCAAGAGATGGGTTATCAGGCACCTTTGATCCAGTAGGTATCCTGCTATTGGTTAGTAAATGCCTATTAGAGGCATTTTCGAGGTTGCTTTGCCCTCAAGATTCTTCTTCAGGTTCCAGCATTCCAGCATTCCGAAACCTGTTGCCTCGGCCATCGAGACATTCTTCACCGCGGGGATGATCGCCTCTGCGGTCTTTTGGCTGCTGCTCGAGCTCGTGCCACCTTCGCGAATTTCTCTTGCTCGATGTGGCGGATCCACGCGAGCTGCTCTTTGGTCACCGGTCCCCCACAGTTGCGACATCTGGTGAGGGCCTTGCACTCTTCTTCGGAGTGCATTGTTGAGGCGCAATTCAGACAGACCAAAGCGCGGGAGCAACCATGAGTGGAGTGGAAGCCGAGGCAGCGATAGCACTGCTTGGTTCTTTGACGTGGCTACAGCTAAGTAGCCAAGCCAGACTCTTGAAAGAGGCGCAAGCCCGAGGGAAAAGTGCAACCCAGGTGCGGAATGGTGCATCGGGTCGGTGCGTTCCATGAGGTCGCACCTTGGTTGGTGGAAGCCCAGTTTTTCGGAGGATCTCGCATGTGACCTCCCAGTCTATGACCGTCACCGGGCCGCGTTGTAGTGTAATACTTACGGGTAAATTTGGTAACCGTAAGGAGACTAGATCCTAAGCCTCTTCAACTTTGGCGTTTATACTCTCCAGAGTCGGAGAGGCATTCAGGATCTTCTACCTCGATTCTTCATCGGTTGTCGCGATTATGAAACTGGTCCTAACCCTGTGTATAGAGTCAGCCATATATAGACTGCAACATGTTTGCACCTTTATCGCAGCTCGTGCACCTTGGGGAGACAATTTTCTCCAAGGGTGGTCGCTACCTAGGCGAATGAATAGTCGTTTATAGACTCACACCTTCGGGGCATCTTTCTTCGGGGCGTTTGCCGCAGGTTGCGGCTTAGCTTTTACAGTCGGGACTGCTTTCTGTCGTAGTCCGTTTTTGACCATCGTGGCCCAGGTGCTTTTTATAGGCAGCGCTGGGAGGGCGGGAATCGTTGTGCTCCTGACGTCGGGAGCCCTTGGGAGAGGGTTCGTCGGGCGAGGAGGGAGGACGGGTGACGTGGGAGCCTGGCCCGTAGCCATGTATTGCGCAATGGCGGCACGTAGATAGACTCTCATCGAGTTTACGAATTGTCTATTTGACCCGTTGGTCAAAGGGAGGAGGGTTGCTTCGACGCCAGAGATGGCTGTGGAACAGAGTGCCAGATTCGTCGCTGTTTCGGCGGCGCGTCGATTTTCGGCCTCGAAAATTGGTCGAAGCTCAGGAGAGCATTCTGCTTTCGTAGCAGCTTTTGGCTACGACTTTGGTTTTGACGCTGCTTTGTGTGCAGCGTTTTCCGACGGTTTTGACGCGGTCGGAGGAGATTTGAACGATTCTCCAATCCCGTGGGGGACGGAGGATGGCTGGAGGATTTCCTCAACAGTTCCAACTGACCCGATCATGTCAGCATCGGGCTCAGCGACGATGGGGAGGTCTTTTTCCTTCCCTTTCGAAATGGCCTTACCCATCTCCGCGCATTTCGAAGACTGGGCAATGCTAGATAATATTTCGAGAGTCCTTAGGGGGATTCCCATGTTGTCCAACGTGACTTTTGGACACTTTTTTCGAACAAGAGGCGTGGTGAAAATGCCTGAGCTCGATCACAATTCAGAGATGTATGCGACGAGATTAAGAGGGGTGGAAAATGGGAATTTTCGAATTTCTCGAATTGTTTTTTTTATTATTATTATATTAAAGTCCTAAGCTAAAGATCAAAGTCAACAATAGGTACAAGACTATTGGAGCCGGCGGGGATCACTGCTTACAGGCCCAACTCACTCCAACCGCTGGACTCGCTACGGAAATAGTAGGAAGTAAATTACGACGCAGATACCACCTACTCCAACTCCTAGATCAAAAATCCCTCCTTTTCCCCCTAAATCCAAAAAGCTACAATCTTTCGTGTCATGTATTGTGGCATTGACTAGTTTGTCTGGTCCCCGCTGAGAGCAGTGGATGAGTGAGCAGGTCGTCTATCAAAACAGCCAGTTTCCCGGGAAAATTATGAAGCTTTCGTGGCATTTGGGTCCGAGGAGTTTTTTGACAAAGTCAGTGTGGGACATTGACTTTCTGAGCCTACGCGTGTGTCGTGCGTAGCGGCTACAGTAGACGAAGTGGGATGGAGTAGTTTCCTTCCCGCAAGAGCACTCCATAGAAGCGTATGGGTTGTTGTAACGGCAATGGCATGCAGCAAAATTGCCGTGACCCGTTCGTGCTGCAATTAGTGCCCGGAGGAGGTGCCTAGAGAGAGACAGTTCGGTTGGTTTGCGTCTCCGCATCTGTAGGTTGAGTTGGCGGTACTTAGGCGGACAGGCCTCTTCCCACCAATTGTCGAGCTTCCTCTGTCGTTTGCGATTCATGAGACCACGTAGACATGCCAGAGTACATGATCTCGGTGCTATATTCTGGCTAGGTAGCTTTCGAAGAGCGGTACGGGCAATAGTGTCTGCCTCCTGGTTCCCTGCGTGCCGTAGCACCAATTTTACCAATACTTTTGCCACGTATTTTAATGCACGGAAGCTGCGTACATCTTCAAGACTGGTTGAGGACGAGTCCATCATTAGTGCACTTACAGCCTGCTGGCTGTCTAGAAACACGTGGATTTTCTGCGACCATCCTACTTTCCTGGACTTTTCGTTCTCAAAGAACTTTAGTGCGGCCTCCAGAGCCTTCCTTGCTCCAATTATCTCTGCATCCAGCACCTCTCCCCCGTGCTTGATACCACTTGTGTGTGTTTTTTATTGTACTACTTGAGTCTATGACTATCTAGCACATTGGACTCCTCTTTGACCTAGGCCACACCTTGTATTGTGCTCCTATCCTCTTTTGTTACTTGAAAGATCATTGATATATTCCCCTTGATGAATAGCCATTCAGCTCAGTGTTTACCCGTGGAATTCAGCCACCTTTTCCACGGAACCTTCTACCCAAAAAAAAAATAAAAAAAAATAAAAATGGTAGCAATGGAATCTGCGTGCGCGGGAAAAAGTCTCAAAAACCTGCAGCCCCAACCAGGCGAGGCCTAGGCACTGGGACTAAATGAGGAGCGCATATTCATCTATATCTCCCTTTTTTGTAACATTCGAGATCGACTTGATCCAATCCGCCATCGCCGTATCGGGTGCTGGGTACGCTCGGGAAACTTATCGGATGGCTTTTCCTCCATGATCAAGGGCTGGTGATGAGAAGGGTTTGACCCTACCATCCGATTTGATCATGATTAGCTTTATGATGATGGTGATAGGGGGATGTGTAGAGAGATGAAGACAATAAAGACCGCAAAAGCGATTGAGAATCCTCATCGAAGTGAGGACATTGTTACTCAATCTCGGCTCTGCAGACTTCATAGTGAGAGCTGGAGGTTTGTAGGGGACAGCACTGACAGGTGCTGAGAAAAGTCCCTCACGATGTGCAAGTTGAGGAGGCTAAATCCCATAATTTCCATTTCAAATTAATAAATACAACAAACTCGCCGCCGAAAACTTGGATCCTCGATTATTCAATCAGTTAAAGATAAATTGGTTACTTCCGGACTAATCAGAATCTCTGATTTACTTTCTTTGATACTTTATTGCCCAAGTGCCTGTTCAACTTAACTCACCCTGCATACGTAGATGAATTACGTTTTTTTTGGTTTGATTTCATTTAGTCCGTTCAGGGATATCTAGCTTTAATATTTACACAGGATGAAAGCAAATTCGGTAAAAACCCCCTAAAACTGTCTGTCTCGTGTCTATTGGTTTTCTGAGGTATCCTACAGGAAGTGCGTTTACACAGTGTGAATTCCCTCTTATCCTTGTTCACATCGTCTGACCTTTTCGTCCAATGCTATTTCTACTTCTCCTTTAAGCCGGAATTGTTCAAAACAGCCCTTTGCCAGGATCCATTTTGTCATTTTGTGGTTCTCTCTATATCATCTGGGCTGTTCATCAATGCCGCAAATGACCTATCTTTTGCCTTTCGAAGCACCTCTCCTCTTCCAATTGCTCACTGATGACACGCCAAGACCATATAATTGAAAATTTGAGACGGATATCCACACTGGCATTTTGGATTAATCACTCCGGGGACTTTCCTTCGATACAGATAAGAATTGAGGCCAATGTGCTCACTTCTTATCTGAACTGCAATACTGCTTTGGGCCCTGCTAAGGCTCCGGTGGATATTTGAGATTGTGTTTCTAAATGTAATCCTTTTTATGCCAGTTGTCTCATCTGTAACAATATTTGCGGGTCTCTGATGAATTACGTTTGTTAATTCCCAAATATCTGGGTCTTGTCTTGCCAAATTAATACGCTTTCGCACCTTGTACCTACAAAATGTAGCACAAAATAGATTCCTAGAATATCCAATCTCACCAACCGAATGACTCGTGTGGAATAATTAAAGATAATCTACCGGGAAATTTTATCACTCGACTACTCATCCAATGTTCATACTCAATATTCTACGAATTCTCAATTCGAATTTCTCAACGGTCTCTAACATCGACATTAATTCTAATCGCCTTCTCTCAAAAATTTCCCTACAGACGTTGAGCTGTGTTGCCAAAATTCTCGTGGATCAGCATCCTTGAGTGCATCATTAACACGCAGAATCAGAGAATTTCTTACCAAGTCAAGTTTAGCAGTATTCATCTAGATTATCGCGATGTCATGTCTCATTGCGATTTTACTATACACAGGAAGAAATTCGGGAGTAAATAATCGTCTGGTACTTGCTTATGAAAATAATTTTGAGTCTTTTCATGAGACCTTCACCCTAGACCCTGATCAAAAATTTCCTGAACTTGACAAGTCTGTCCCAATATTCAAAACACCAACCACATATCGACAAGCAGGTACTTATTTTGCTACATATTGTTCACTGGAGAATACCCTCCCTTTCATTTATCAGGTTGTATTCCAGCAGTTATCCAAGGATCTTGGAGACCTTCACAATCCGCTCAGCTACAATATCGAGGGAGATGACAGCTGCTTTCAACATATCAAATCACAAATTACGGTCAGACGGTCACGACTTAGGAAAAACAAAATTTCTATCAAATATTTAGAACAGAAAATATGTCCTGAAAATGTTATTTTCAGATTGGCTTACAATGGTAGAATAACTTTGATCAGTGGCACTAGATCTAGAGCCCCTTTAAATAATTCGACTACACACATTGTAAAACTCCAAGATCCATTAGAGATAAAAAATTACGTCCAAGGTGGTAAATTTATTAAGATCGGAAAACTTGATGGCAAAACATATTCACTAGCATGGCTTCAAGGTCATCTACACATATTTTTATGGCTTCAAAACGAAGAAATGTGGAAATTAGATACCTCTCTGGGTGACGTTATGCATAATAGAAAATTTGCAATCGATTTTCTAAGAGATACTAATCTACAAATAAAATTGATTATGAAAAAAATAAGTGCGGTGGCAGAAGAGTACAAAAATTCGAAACGAATTGATACCGCGGGTGCACAAACTGAATCCAAAAAGTCTATCTCCTTTTACAATCAAAAATGTCAGAATCTTATGTTAGAGATTGATACAAGGACTGCGAGACTCGCAGAAGGCTATCTCCACGAGGGGTTTTGACTGAAATTACGAGATACTTAAGTTTATTTACAGACTGGAAACTAGATCCGCTAGGACTAATATGCTTGGAACGATTCAGATGAATATAATACCAAAGATTACGCACTAAATACTTCTCTGTTAAGAAAAGATTAGGATTCCGATCATTACCAGGCTCATTTCATGATGATAAAGACCCTCTACATGCTGCTAATAAAATGCTTTGTACGATATAATATGGTGTGAATTAAAAAATGGGAAATGTATGTACATTGATTAAAATGTCACACTTGGAAAAGAACTACCGAACTTTCGAGAAGATTTTCACATCTTTGAATTCATCCTCATTGTTTTGTTCACATAAGGTTATCTTGTTCAGTATAAATTGCCGTTGCATGGCATGGTGAATACTGGTGTGCAGAAGTTAATGGCTTCGATTCGCCGCAGTTTGCCGCCGGATAAAAATAATTTTGTATGCAATAAAGCAAGTCCAGGAAGTATCGATGACTTAATTAAACCCGCACAGGAGACTTCTTACCTCTCCCTATATAAATAGATTATAAGAATTACCTACGCCGATCATTACGATCTGTGTTTCTAAGCAACCGTATCTAGACATCAACATTGGAAGTGAGTGATCTAATGTTAGTGTCTTTTCTCAGTCTATGAATATGTAGTTGAAAAAAACATCATTTCTGCCAGAAAGATGCGCAGCGTTCCACGCTGTCCGTATCATCAATTTGACATCGTGATAATTATTTTTACATCTTTATTACCCCCCTCTCATCTATTCGCTTTCCGTGCTCCAACATGGCGAGTGTGGGTGCTGGTGTGGGTAAATCCAGCGGTTTCGACGCGTCGCAAAATGCGACAACGGTATCATCAAACAACGGCAGCGGAGCGCAGATAGCTCCAAAGGATCCTAACTTGGAAATTATAGGGAAGCTATTAAAAAAGGTCAGACAAATTGTGATGGGAGAGATGGACGAGGAGGACCTACCAACAATGGAAGACGTAAATGAAGCCGTCAAGGCATTCAATTATCACAAGAAGGCTTGGACAACGATGTACCAGATCCCATCTCCAATCGAGGAGAGGATGATAGCATTGGAGGAGGTGATAAAGAAAAGCATCGCAGACACCGCGCGACAGGCAGCTCCTGTTGTGTCGTCTGGGAAGCCGCTACCAAGGACCTACGCGTCGGTCGTAGCTCCGCAAATGGCGAAAACGGCGGTCAGAATAAGAATCGATGGCGCACAAAACTTGCAGCCTCAAGAGCTACTAACAAAGACACAACAACATATTCAAGGCGCATACGCGATTCGCCAAATGCGAAGTAACGACACTGAGGTGTTCGTCCAGTCGGCGTCCCAGAGAGACGCGGCGCTCAACATGCGCCAACCGAACGAGTTTAAGATTTTACGGCAAGATTTTCCTGTCGAGGTTTCTGGTATCCCTTTGCGAACTCGAATCGAGGGTGGCAGAGATGCCCAAAACCACGCTATCATCAGGGAGATTGAGATAGCAACTAAGGCTCGAATTCCCGGCCTAGTGATTAATCGAATCAGGTGGCTACACGATAGAAAGGAGCACCAGCGATCGAAGAAAAACGGTCGCAATCGAGGTTCAATTGTGGTCAGCCTCCCATCAGAGGCAATGCAAACAGAGGTAGTTCGAAAGGGCCTTGTAATTAAAGCCATACTCTTCACCGCGCAGGTGTGGTCATTTTATGGATCATTGTGGCATAGCGTATTATGAAACGCCATGCGGACGGCTAAGTTAAAACACAAATAATAGTTAAATGCACTTCTAAAACCAGCAAGGAAGACTGATAAGAATGGGCTGGTTTCATTAGGTGATGTGTAGCAGATTGTTGGGCATAGGGGCTGTGTGCTACGTGCTATTTGGTAATTTTATGTATATAAATACTTGGCGTGAAGAAGCATTATTTTTCACGCAACGTCTTCTTCAATTACCTTAACAATACATTTGTTTACCCATCTCTTCTTCGGGAAGACCATTTATCTATTTCCAGCTCTTCATCAGCAAGACCCACGTGTAGCCTCTATCGCTACTATCTACCTATTTGTCTCTTCCTAGAGAAGACCAGTCATCCCTTCGGCCCACTCATCACCTTCATCTACCACCTAGACCTTCGTTAGACCACATACGCACCCTGTGGAACACTGTCATAACCTCGCCTTGAGAGGTCACCACGAGCCCAGCCAAAGCAGTGTTACAACTGTAGTCAGTGGGGACACACGCAGGCGTCGTGTGAAAAGGCAGCCAGGTGCGGTGAGTGCGCTGGTGCTCACCAAACTCGGGACTGTCCGAGGAAAAGGGTTTCTTGTGCCAACTACGACAAGGAACATCGTTCATGGCAGAAAGCAGCGTGTCGGACCTACCAGGTTTACAAGGGTAGTGTGGAGAAGGCTCGGATGGAGCTGTTATCGAGGACGGCAGAAATATGGAATGAAAAACCTACCATGGCGCCAACACGAACAGTCGGAACGACCGACGACCAAGGATTCACTTTGGTCACCAGTAAAAAGGCTGAAGGACTCAGAAGAGGGCCAGGACGACTGCGTAAGGTAGTCGAAGCCCCAGCGGCACCAATCATCGCCTCGACAGCAGCACCACCATTGGGGCCAACTCTTCGAACAATTCGAAGACCAACGCCGAGTGAGGAGGTGCCTTCTCTTTTTAATTCTTCATAACGTTAGTCTGATCGAAGGAGGAGTTAACGAATTCGGGGGAAAGTTTATAAATTTGTGGTTCAAAGGAACGTCCTCAGCATAAAGCCGGGTCGGTTCAATTGAAATTAGTTCCGGAGATTGGAAGAATTACACACTAGCCTCAAGTTTGATTAAGAGATACGATAAACGTGTTTACTACACAAAGAAGTTTACTGATATTTAATGGATAGTTAATTGTGATTAAATTGCTATAATTCTATATGTGTGGCGAGAAGTCCCTCTATATACATGAAAGCGGGGTTTTCCGCACACTAGTGTGAACTCCAACATACTTCCTAATCTAACCTAAACTGGAAGGTTGTTGGAGATCCTGAAGCCAATGTATGCTGTCAGGCATCTATTGGCTAATTACTATTCATGCCAGTGAGTGATGATAAGGGTTAATCATATCTCATGGCGCCAGTGCATATTATTCTAATATGTACTATTTGTCTACTGCAGTTATGTTGCTGCCTTAATTACAACAGGTTCAATGTGGCAGGACATCAGGTTTTGTTTGTTGAAAGCTTTTTCCCTTACCAAAGCGGCTTACCGTTTTCATGGTTCTGTATATAGATACCTCATAGGACGCTAAACTAGAACAATGAATGAATGAATGAATGAATGAATGAATGAATGAATGAATGAATGAATGAATGAATGAATGAATGAATGAATGAATGAATGAATGAATGAATGAATGAATGAATGAATGAATGAATGAATGAATGAATGAATGAATGAATGAATGAATGAATGAATGAATGAATGAATGAATGAATGAATGAATGAATGAATGAATGAATGAATGAATGAATGAATGAATGAATGAATGAATGAAAAACTCAGTATATGCATACTATTAATCAAAAAGTAAAAATCAAGAGTTTTAGGAGAAGAAAGTAAAAATAAAAATAAAGTATTAGTCATCCAAATCTTGATCAATCTGCAAAATTGTAGTTCTTTGAACTCCCTTTTTGGCTTTTTCTATGTCCTTTTTAGTTGGTTTTTTCTTCTTTGGATAATTAATTTCGAACTCTTTAATAGCTTTGGAAGCAAAAATGACGTTCTTTAAAGGCTCCCAGGTAATATCTGTGGAATCTCTCCACTTAATCCGGTATTAGTATTCTCCTTTGTACCTTCGGCAGTCATGGAGTTTTTCGATTGCCCAGAGCTTTTCTCTGTAGTCATCAATCATAATAGCCGTATCCTGTGTAACACTTTGTCCGGGAAACATCTTGGTTGGTGCTGGCTGAAGTAAGCTGGTATGAAAACTATTATCAATTGACTGCAGCTCTACGGAGAGCTCCAGACGATACGCATGAGCACCTAGAAGCAATTTTATCTTAAAATGTCTCAAGAATTTATTGTCAAACTTTTTAATTGGTCATGGCGAAGTGATATTGTTAAAAGTCATGCAATAAATCTGTAATTGTATCTCGTGTCTCGCTTAGTATTCCACACTTTCCGTAATTTTGATGCGTCTTTTGTCTCAGTAGGGACTTAATAGGGTTACTCGCTTGTCGCGTGATCCGCCAGACGTTAAATAAAGATAAATAAAATTCTATAATTTTGAAGTTTGTAGATAATTGTAAGAACAAGTAAATAAGCACCTATAGTTGTAGTTATAATACACACAATAAATTATATATATATTTATATTATAAGGAATCTGATTTCGAGAGCAAGTATCCACACGCAGCTAAATATATAGCTGGTATGCAGTATACTCTTAACTCCACTGTCGCATAAATTACAACAGGTTCTGAGTCCGATAGCAAAAGCTAATAGGTCAAAAGATTTCTTAAACTCAACCTAAATTAATTATACGAAATGGTGCAATGTCTGTCCAAGATTTCGAAAGTTCCAAAATGGCTTCAAAGATTGAGGAGATGCTTGCGTCAAGCAATAAGCCTGTGTGGAGTCAACCCAAGGCTTCCCCAAATGCTATGGGAAACGTCGGTACACTCCAGTTGCCTCCTTATTTCAAGTTGAAGGGGGAGGAAAATTACGAGCAATGGAAGAACAATTTGGAGAACATTGCTCTAGCCAACAACTTGGAGGACTACATATGTGACGAAGTGGAAGAACCCCCACATGTGTCCATCAAAGAAATATTTTTGAATAAGGAGGCATTTGAAATGAGAAAACAGTGGCTCGCTGGAGATGCTGGGATGAAACTAGCCATTATGATCAACTCAGCCCCAAATATTCACGGCATGATTGATGGCAAGACTTCGGCTCTCCAAATGTGGACAAGTCTGCAAGAACGGTTCGAGGGAAAAG